AATGCCTTCAGTTTCGGATGAGTACATTACGAATATAAGAAAATTTAAATACTACCAAGGGAAAAATAACGCCGTAATGTCTGTAAGTGAACTCAAAAGTAGTTGCGAGAGAAAAAAAAATTTTACGGGCTCACCAAATTTGTGGTGGTCCCCAAACAAAAGGAGCTTACTCAAAATATTTTGATACTCTAGGTTAACACTGATATACCAAAACGAATTAATGATTAAGAAACCTAGATGTCTGTCCGTTAGTAAAAACAAAGGTAATAAAATACCGTTAACAATACAAAAGGTATATTAAACAAACAGACGCTAACAGTTACTATAGAATGAATGTTACTTGTTAACTGCCTCGTGAGGACAACGACCACAAACTAAGTTCACTTGGTTGACAGGTGTTCCTCTGCAAGCGACTGCACCAAAGACGTAATGAGGAAGACGGAGTCCAATAGTATTATACAATAGTAATCCGTGCCAAAAGTCCAACGTTGAGTCGGAAGGCCTATAAGGATGTTATAATACTATTATAGTCTTCAATCAAAACGGTGGCCAATAAAACAGAAGAACAAACGGCGTAGACAGTGTTCTATATTTTAAACAACCCGGTAGTAGAAGTGTATACCAATCATCGAAACAATTATTATCGTCTTTTTAACAAGTGATACAGCAAAACAACAGATATTGGATAAAGATGTGGTTACAAATAAAGTGTGACAAATTAGAGAAAAAATGTGGTTTTTATTTTTGTTGTTACAAAAATCACTGAATATATGTCACCATACTATATATATATATATATATATATATATATATATATATATATCGTGTAAAGTTTCTTTAATATAAACATGTACAGTTATACTAATATACAGTCATTCAGTAAGTAACTAATTTCCTAAGTACATTTTCAATAGGTTATTCAATTCACTACAAGTCATAATTGAATTGAACTAGTATAAATGAATACACTAATTACCGAATTAAAGTCTAGTATGAAAGTAACAATTTAGTTTAGATTATATTTATTTCCTGTTAAAAAGCATCACATACATCTTAAGAAAGTAAAGATTTTGTTGTAGTATAGTCATGAAGTATTCATTTACATATTGGTTGTAAATAATTCAACTAAAATTCATAATATTCAAAAGCAATTTTGTTATATCCTTATGAGAATAATGAATGGTACCTGTTGGAATTTATTTTTGGACTTATAATATACAGTGCTTCCAGGTTTTCCATGGTGGTCTAGCTTCACAGGCTAGGTTAAGCGGGAAGCAGGACCGATAAGTACTCTAGACTGCTCGTACTTGTTTTATGCGTCATTGGTCCGAACGGTAAATTGTTGTTCTCTAATTGGCGATATCATTACGTTATACATTAATAGGACACAGGGCACAAGTTATAAAAAATTTTAAGATATACTATTGAATAAGATATGTAATAAAACAAATGTCTAGGCCAACTATCCTATATATATGGTACACGTTTACGTTTCAGTAATATCTGTCACCTTATAAAAATCTGATATAGTTAATTTCGTAACACAGAGAAGTCTTCAAATATTTCATAAATCATTACAAAATACAAGGATTTCATCAATATTTATCAGCATTGACTAATTATTTGTCTACCAACCTGCTATACTGAGTTTATCATGATTCATGCTAATGTAAACTGATATTACGTTTTAATAAATAGATAATTATTACTCTAACGTTTCTGTCCGGATAAACTTTGCTCATAATTCAATTTTCAGAGTGCAGTAAATCTCCAAAAGACTTGACTCTGAATAATAATATTAACATTTTGTTTAGAACATAAATACCAAGAGGTACAAATAGATATTATACTGAAACTTTTAGCATGACTCATTTAAATGTCGAGATAATCAATGTTATCATTTGACAGACTTATTACAATTAAACTACAAATTGGTTCAATCATTGTTTTCAACAAAGTTACTTTAAATAATTCATTTAAGAGAAATATTGATTATTCGCAAATAATTTTCCATTACAGTATCTAAGTGCTTATAGCCGTATTTAGACCACAGTAAGTATGTTTACCAAAATACAGAAGAAACACATTCTTACTTAAGCAACGAAACAGAAAAAGATGTGTTATGTAGATTTGAGTTATTTTTAATTATAACTAAATATCTATTAAATAATTAATTATCAAAGTACATGTTATGTGACAGAACTCCTAAAGCCTATTTCAGTCATCCATATCTGTCAGTAATGTATTCAGACTTTGATCTACTACATAGTTATGACATACACATTTACAAAGATTGATTATAACCATTTAAATACGTGTGATAAAGTGCCAGAACAACTAATTATCTCTGTACTGTGGTGAGCTATTCAAACTAACCTCAATTACAATTGTAACCACAAAATCTAAGTGTCTTATCAATAAATTCATTTAACTGATTGAAATCATGAGTCACTTGAAGCTAGATCACCATGGAAAACCTGGAAGCACTGGACGGCCGTTTCATCCTAGTATGGGACTCCTCAGCTATGCGCACTCACGATCCCGCATTTCGCAAGATTCGGACCCAGGACCTATCAGTCTCGCGCTAAGCGCTTAACCAACTAGACAACTGAGCCGGCATCCGATGGTGTTGATGTCTAACATCAACCAATCCACGAAGTTGCGACACCGAGACTGTTAGGTCCTGGGTTCGAAACTTGTGGAATGCGGGATTGTGGATGCGCACAGCTGAGGAGTCCCATATTAGGATGAAACGGCCGTCCAGTGCTTCCAGGTTTTTCATGGTGGTCTAACTTCAATTGACTCATGACTTTAATCAGTGAAATTTCTAAAATCTCCACAAAACCCCTTCTGATAAAATTCATTTAATTCATAAGAAGAGTAACCATACTGGTGAAATGAGCTGCTTCAATCCATTCAATCTAGATTTATTTTTTTAAAGCAATGATCGTATCATGAAGTGAACTTTTTACATATATTCATCACATAATTACAATGAAGCAATGTTATTAATATGAAAAAATCACACCATTAGATTCATTGACAAGATCTAAACTTCTTTTCTATAAAAAAAAATAATACAGTCAGTTATGTCTTTTTGGTTCGTTTTTTCTTTTTAACTAACTAATATATGTTATCAATCTTTTGTAATTTTTGCATTGACCAATTTTGTTTTGTTTTGTAACTAAACAACGCATATTTTATGAGTTTTATTTAATCAAGTGGAACGTGTAGAAATAACTTAACAATTTGTTATTTGTTTTTCAATTTTCTTATTGAACTTAGTAAACTACGTGTGTATGTAATATGAATCAATAATGTACTTTTATTCATTTGTTTGTGTTTATTGTCATTATCATTATTATTGTTGTCCATCTGTAGTAAATAAAGATTTTGTTGTTTAATATAAAATTACAGGGTTCTTTGGTAAAATGTAACAGTCATTCATGAAATACTTCATTTGCAAATATTCCATCGATTGTATTTTTTTTCACATTATTCACGATTCTTCCAATTCTCAATTCCTTTCCGTCTTCTTCAGTTTAATCTACTCAATTTTCTTTTGTCAAGCATTCTACTTCTGATTAGTGTTACATACTACTTATGTTGACAGATATAAGTAGCAGGCATCACACATGCACGTCATCATTTCAGACTTTTTTTGTTTTACTTAAACTAATGTTTAGTAGTATTTTATGAAATTTTCTGTTGGTAATTTTTGCAGTCAAACAATTTCTAATTATTAAGTTTGTAAAAGGGAAAAAAGAGAATTTAATGAAAAATTATTTGGTTTTTAGTTTAGTCATTTACTGGTTGTTTTAGCAGAGAGAGTGAGAGATTGATTGTACTATTTATGCTCTAAAATGACAAAGAAATAGAAATATAGACTTCACTAGAAATACATTATTAGCAGTATGCACTGAGAATGGATTTTTTTCTGCATTAACATCAATTATTAGTTTAAATGAACTAAACGATTTTCATTTACCACGTATATTTTATCTAGAAAAACTATGTTCTTTTTTTACTCTTTATTAGTTTTTTTTAATCAATATGCTTAGTTAATGTTTACTCTATAAGATGACCTACATCTGTTTAAATAACTGCATAGTTTTTATCTTCTTAAAAATTCAAACGGAGAACTCTTGGCTATAGGATTTACTCCTGAAACTTAGGTCTGAAAATCAGGATTTCTTATTAATATTGAGTTCATATTGACTGTTCATTTCAAACCTGCATAGGATAACGGAAAATTATCACAATTAAAATCCAAACATTCTTGGGATTTTATTCATTTTAAAGTTTAGTTTTAATTTTAATTGACTAGATCATTTAATTTCAGAATGCCTTCTACTGTCACCTCATTTTTGATAAATGTTTCCACTAGCTTAAATAAAAGCTTAAATTTTTAATTATCTTTTTTTAATATTGCTCTGAAACACTTAGTATCCTTTGTTAAACATGTCTACTGAAAAATTTTTAAATCGATTTTCGCAAATGTATTGAACACTGAATAATGTCCCATTCATACTGGTTCAATAGTATTCAAGTAAACTTGAATAATTTGAATCGATAAATCAAATTACAGGTCGGTTGGATGTGTTATTAGTGTAGGAGGAGTTGTCGAGATTATAGAATTTTCCAGAGTTTATGTCATGAATTGATGTTGACTAGAACACCACTGAACACCTAGAATCACTAGATGGCTGTTTCAACCAAATGTGGTAAACTTCAGTAATACCCATCCATGACTGTTCTACAAGAAATAAAACCCAAGACATTCAATGTCGAGCACTAATACTTAACCTATAGACCACTGATTCAGCTACTAGTTAGTCCGTACTAAAATCATAAACCACTTTTTTTCTTCTTTTTTTCAATTTCTGTACTTTAAATATTTGTCTCTGTTTAAATATATAGTATTTGAACTGGTCATAATTCTTTTATACTTATCTTTATTTAAATTAGTATGGTATAATATTGATAAATCTGGTTATTTTTTAATAAAATAAAATCTTCAACTTTGTTATAATGATATATATCAATAAATTTGGAGTATATATGTACTAATCAGCCAAGCAGAGTGAATATTTGGCTAAACATTGTCAAAAGTATAGACAATAATCAGTGATAATGATGAATCCTTTCAAACTTTTCTTCATATCGATCTATTTGTTGCTATCGTTCCTTTGTTTGTTCCTTTATCACTTGAAGATTAAATAACTTAATAGAACCATTCAGTCATGGTATTGAAAAATTAAATGACTTTTTGCAGTATATTAAGTAGTTCAGTGTTTATGATGCACGTTTCAATTTCTTTTTAAAAAAATCAGGTTTTGAATGAGATTTTGATCAGGTTAAATTTAAGATCGGGTGAATTCTTATTGATATTTTTATGTTCCTTTATTGATCAAAGAAGCAATCACTTCAACATACCATGAGGTTCTGGGCCACAAGAAGCACCATCACAAGGAATGGATCACTGTTGAAACACTGGATATGATTCAAGAAGGCAGCGATCAATACCAGCCGAACAAGAGCAGAAAAAGCCAAGGCACATGCTGAATACACAGAAGTAAACAAGCAAGTGAAGAGGAGCATCAGAACTGACAAACGTAAATATGTGGAAGATCTAGCAACGGCGGCGGAAAAGGCTGCAAGAGAAGGAAACATGAGACAATTGTATGACACGACAAAGAAACTCTCTGGAAATCAACGTAAACCGGAGCCACCAGTGAAAAGCAAGGAAGGCGAGGTAATCACCAACATTGAAGAGCAACGAAACAGGTGGGTAGAACACTTCAAAGAACTCTTGAATCGACCAGCCCCACTGAACCCACCCAACATCAAAGCAGCACCCACGGACCTCTCAATCGATGTTGGCCCACCAACAATTGAAGAAATCAGCATGACCATCAGACAAATCAAGATTGAGAAAGCGAAAGCACCAGACAACATTTCAGCAGGGGCAATGAAGGCAGACGTAGCGGCAACTGCAAGGATACTCCAAATTCTCTTCAATAAGATTTGGGATGAGGAACAAGTACCGACAGACTTAAAGAAGGACTTCTGGTCAAAATACCAAAGAAAGTATGAGAATTACAGAAGCATCACTCTTCTCTCAATACCGGGAAAAGTCTTCAACAGGGTATTGTTAAACAGGATGAAGGACTGCGTAGACGCTCAACTTCGAGACCAACAGGCAGGATTCCGTAAGGGTAGATCATGTACAGATCAAATCGCAACTCTACGAATCATTGTGGAACAATTAATTGAATGGAATTCATCACTTTACATCAACTTCATTGACTACGAGAAAGCATTTGACAGCATGGACAGAACAACACTATGGAAACTTCTTCGACACTACGGCGTGCCTCAGAAGATAGTCAGTATCATACCTATGATGGATTAAACTGCAAAATCGTGCATGGAGGACAATTGGCAAACTCGTTCGAGGTAAAGACCGGTTTCAGGCAAAGTTGCTTACTCTCACCCTTTCTCTTTCTTCTGGTGATAGACTGGATCATGAAGACGTCAACATCTGAAGGGAAACGCGGGATACAGTGGACATCTAGGATGCAGCTGGACGATCTAGACTTTACAGATGACCTGGCCCTTCTATTCCAAACGCAACAACAAATGCAGGGGAAGACGACCAGTGTATCAGCAGCCTCAGCAGCAGTAGATCTCAATATACACAAAGGGAAAAGCAAGATTCTCCGATACAACACAGCATGCACCAATCCAGTCACACTTGACGGAGAAGATTTGGAAGATGTAAAAACCTTTACATATCTGTGCAGCACCATTGATGAACATGGTGGATCTGATGCAGATGTGAAGGCGCGGATCAGTAAAGCAAAAGCAACATGTTTAGAACTGAAGGACATCTGGAACTCAAAGCAACTGTCAACCAACACCAAGGTCAGGATTTTCAACAAAAATGTCAAGACAGTTCCATTGTATGGGGTGAAAACCTGGAGAACTACGAAAGCCATCATCCAGAAGATACAGGTGTTTATTAACAGTTGTCTACGCAAAATACTTCAGATCCGTTGACCGGACATTATTAGTAACAACCTGCTGTGGGAGAGAACAAACCAGATCGCAGAGGAGGAAGAAATTAGGAAGAAGCGCTGGAAGTGGATAGGACGCACATTGAGGAAAGCACCCAACTGCGTCACAAGACAAGCCCTCACATGGAATCCTCAAGGCCAAAGGAAAAGAGGAAGACCAAAGAACACATTACGCCGAGAAATGGAAATAGACATGAGAAAAATGAACAAGAATTGGATGGAACTAGAAAAGAAGGCGGAGGACAGAGTGGGTTGGAGAATGCTGGTCGGTGGCCTGTGCTCCATTAGGAGTAACAGGCGTAAAGAAAAAAAGACAATATTCCTTTATTACTGCAAAACTATTTAAAAAATGTTTTTTGAGAGGGGGATACAATCCACATTTTTACTGAAAAAATGGGTTGTTTTTTTTCTAATTAAAAACCATTATCCCAATTCATGTCCACATTTATTAAGTCTGTGATTTTGTGAATTCCGTGACGAATAATGAATCAGTTTTCTAATTAGGAATTTTTAACATCCTTTTAATAATTTATCTTGCTAATCAAATTACATTGTATTTATGAATTCAACAGTTCGTTTGCTTTAATTCATTGTTTCATAAAATATATGACTTAGTCGATGTAGATTATCTGCTAACTGACATGAATCAACACTGAGTATCATCATCATTTAAAAGCATTTATTTTTATAAGCATTAAAAGTAGATATATGGGACCATCCAGTTCAGAGAACAAAACTCTAACAAATAATGTATAATATATATCATTACCAAGATTGGATTTGATAATTTTGAATAAATTGAAAATTTTGTAGATTGTTATAAATAAACTAATATACTACTGTAGATGTAGTTGTTAGCTATTAAATGTCATTCATTAATGAATTTTAGTTTGGAAAGCTCTGAGACTTGATATCAATATGAAATCTTATTAACAAGCTAGAAATTACAAACTTGGTATCTATACCAAGCGAGTAGATAGTTTCTGTTGAAATATATAATCGAATTCATTCAACAGAAGTTAGCTGAAGTGTGTGTAAAAATTTAAGATTTAACCTAACAATTAAGTGATACAGAGATAATAATTCTTGCTACTCTTTAAAATAATATGTGGATAAGTACTATGAGACAAAATGGGACTATGAACAACCAATTATCTATCAAGTTCTTTAGTGGCGATTATAATTCAAAGAATTCAAAGTATGTTTCTAGTTTTTGATAACTTGCTTTAGATAACAATCTTAGCTGACAGAAAACAACACATTATAAATTACAATATACATATGAATTTTGATAGTTTTCTCTGAACTATAAAAAGTTAATATTAATAGTGTGAGGGATTGTTGACTGTCAAGTTTTACAGTTTAAATCATCAACTAACCTTAGAGAGCCACTAAAAATTAGGAAGCACTAGAGAGCTGTTTCAACCTTGTATTGGGTTCCGTAGCATTGAGCATCCCACACTTCATTTGTGTTTGAACCAAGTAGAAATTTTATCCTTTAGACGACAGAGTTGAGATCCAATGGTTTGTATTTTCATTTTTTATGAGCTCACGATATTGCGCAACTATCTTTCAGTATCATTGATGAGTGAAGTTCAAGCATGTCGTATGTGAGGCAGCCACCAATCAACGGTATTAAAATATGGTTGATTAGTATCTCGAATCGACTGAACGTCTACGCATAAATCGTTGGATACCAAATTATTGGTCGGATGGTTAAGCGCTCAACACGAGATGTGAAGGTTTTCTATTTGATCTCTGATGGGGTCATAATGGAGTATCACTAAGAATCTCCACACCAAGTCAATACAGTTTTGCAGTGGTTTCTGTACTTCAATAGCCGAAAAATTAAGACCAGTGTGTCATGCTAACTGTGAAGTTATAATTGACTTTCTGTATGTAGACTGTGTAGAATTTTAATATAGTTATCACAGTGGATTAATCATTTGGTTTTGGTGTTTTATGAAAATTATTTTGAAATGAAATAGGCAGCCACTGTAATAAATAATAGTCATATCTACTGGCAATCATGTGATAGATTAACTTCCTGAAATTTTAATAGAGTCGACTAAATATGTGACAAGGCAATAATACACTAATAGTATTGCGTAAACATCTCAGTGTATTACATTCTGATTGAATTTAAAGACTCAGACCACTGGATGATAATTCGCTGGCTAAATAAAGTCTTGGTTGATGAGAAATCTGGAAAATTCGGGCTTAAACCCATATTGTTTGTAACTGTAGTGATTCACGGTGAGAACTACAACCAAAAGGAGTATTATTTCTGAAAGCATTGGAATTGTTTCTTCTTATTTCTTTTACCAGACCGTTTTCTGAGATTTTACCTTTTCTACAGTTACCTACGAGGCGTTTATTATTCCAATCATAGTGAACATATACCATTCATACTCTTGTTGGAGAATCATTGGAAAACAATTAAGACATATTTGTTTACTGCATGAATTAGAACTAAACATAAATAATTATTTTACAGGTATCAATTTTTTAAATGACTTCAAATATGTTACTTATATTAGAAGAATTAGTAGTGTATAGACAGTGTAATCTAAAATGAAATAATTTGAATTATTCATTTAGTGATTTTCAATAGTAATAATCGGTATTTTTAATGTACATTCAAGTTTGTACATGGTAGTTGTACCATATTCATCAATCCTTATGAAGTGTAAAATCAAGTGTAGGATATTATTTTTGAAGCATAATATTTTGAAAATTAAATGAAAACGGTTTGTTTGTTGAAGTTTTTAACGGATTACAAAAACTTTTGTTCACTTAAACTAAAAAAAACACTAATTTTATCGATTATCTATTAAGTACTTTGATAAACCAACTAACTTATTTTTACAAGCAAAGATGGATAGTGGCTAGCAGTGGAATCCAGGACGCGCGTTTCGTCTTATTTGGGACTCGTCAGCTGGATGTACCTGCATCTCAGAATTGATGTTCACTCTGGGACTCGAACTCACTACCGTTCGCTTCATTTTTACATTATATTCTTTAATAATTTACATTAAAACAAACTTTTAATTTTATAAAATAAATTCTAATTTTACCATACATATATATTATTTTAGGTGAATCAATTATTTATCTAAACGTTTTTCCCACTGTAAAATTCATTTTATTTCACTATAGTAATGTCTGTTCACACTATACCTATACGTATACATGTCTTTGCATTCAATCTTAAAGAAAAATGTTTTTGATAACTTTCTACGACATTTCAAGCGATAACTAATGTCTGAACAAATGTGTGATTATGTTTAACATAATCGAATAAGTCAATACTTATTCTAATGAATGAAATAAAACCAGCATGTATATAAATTAAATTTATCATCAATATCATTGATGGGGTAACATTCAAATAGCAAATCATGTTGATGCTTTCATAACATTTGTTCAAAACACAATGATTTCTTAACAGAAATAAATATCAACTCTGATGTTACTTATTTTTTTGTTGTTGTTTCGTTTATATATTTATTTATTTGATAGATTCACATTATGTAATAAGTTATTCAAAGGATGATGGTTTACTTTTTACATCACTTTTATGTTGGAAACATAATGTAATCTAATGACATAGTATAATGATAATATTCTACATATTACGAAGATATTTATAGAAGTAATTATTTTTAAAAGCTAACGTAATTGACAGTTAAACCATCTGAAAGAAATGAAAACATACCTAACTCTAGCAACAAAAAAGACCAAGCAATCTTTATTTAACTAAACAGTTGATTCACATTTCTTTTTTTCTTAAACACAGATTTTTTAATTTATTTTCATCACGATGTAAAACAGTAAGTTTTCGTGATCTGTTGATCAGTTTTCATCCGGATTCGAGATAATAATGATAGGTGACTAGATATTTATTGCATTATATATAAGATGGTTCACAACCTTTTTACAAGCAAAACATGGTGAATGTAACTTGGTAGAGTAATAAATAAAGTTTTGACATTTCCATTGACAGGTATTTGGTATTTTTTGTCTCAGTCAGAACTTTAGTACTGACACTCAGTGTAAAAATGTCTTGTGAATTCAGTAAATTTGTTACCATTCATTACAGTTCTAAGCTGCTACAAGTCTACATATTAACTGAAAGAATATAACTAGTAGATAAATTAAATAGATTAGTCGAAACTTAAAAAATGTGTATCCGTGTCAAAAATTTCTGGTTGTTTTATTTATATAATTGAAAATTAAAATTTTAACAAAATATGCAACTGATGACAAAAAAATTTAATTCAATATCTAGAACAAACCAAATAAATATGTTAAAGTCATGCTATATAATTCAATTCAATAGTTGATTTTTGAGGAATCAGTGTCATGATACCTAATATGTCCACATTTTGATTGTTCATTTCATCTTCAAACCATTCAGTATAGGACACTGAGATAATCATTTATGATGCATGTTCACAAAATCATTCAGAGATTTTCCACCTTTACTTTGTACTCTATATTGAAAGTCAAGATTGCCTGTCTGATAATTATAGCATGTAAAAGAAATACCTTAAGAATACTGTTCCATACCCATCCTCTTTAACATCGAATACAAAGTAAATAGATGATTAGGTCTGTTTCAACATTTTTCAGATAATCATAATTTGTCATATACTTGTTTCAGCTATGAGGTGTTGTGTAAAATACGTAGGTAAGATTGAACAGTTGTTTGATGTCTTTTGATGATAAAAATTTTCTACTGGTACAGTTTAGTGTGATATTTTGTTCAGGCTATTTGAATGGAGTTATCTATCAATTTGTATGCTCGTATTAGTGGCCGATTTCAGCTTTCTTAGCTTCTGAGTATTCTATGTCAACCCCTAATTTAAACTGTGGGCTTAAGATGGTTTGTTAAACTATCCTAAAACTACTTCACAATGAAGTGTTTCATTACATGTTCTTCCTTACGTCTTTCAAAAATATTCAGCCTACTGTTTAGTAGCTCACTTGAAACAGAAGTTAAGAAAACTTCCATGTATTCAGGTAACTTAAATCATATTAGTGATTAAGGTAATCTCACTAAACTAGGTTAACAGCTAACAACATGAATCAAGAGTGAAATCAATATTTGAAATTATCTTTGTTTAAAGAAAGCAAGTTTTGGATTGGACTAAGCTTTTATTCGAGCAAGTGTATATTCATGTAATAGTGAATGGCAGAAAGTTTTACTTGGAAGATTATTTAGAAGTTACAAGCTAACAATTTTCAAAGTGCACCTAAAATAAAAGTTTTCAGACTGTCTCGATTCTTAGCAGTTCACCGACTGATATTATTACTCAGTGATAGCTATCGTCAAATTAAACTGGTCTCCATAAATAATCCAGTTGAAAATTACTACGGAGCTCTTCTTTTACTATTAAAACTACAAAGATTGTTTGAAGTAGATCTGTACCAAGTCCTAGAACTAGGTTTCATATTAGTTCGAATTCACTAGTAAGATTTATCTGCAATTTGTAGTGAAGTAATATTCCCTGTGATATGTGGACCTTGATCATCTAAAGTCACAGTAAGAGATGTTTTCATTGAGCTAGTCAGGTCTTAAGAGATATCTTAAAGTAATCTAATACTTACATTTATTGTATGCTGAGGATTAGTCAGTCTAATGTTTGTTTATTCCTTTGTGTTGATCAAACGCTGCCGATTAAATTACTATTAACTCTACTTTCCTCTTCATTTTGTATGAATAAAACTTATAAATATTATCGTGATTTTATACATATGTATATTTTGCTTTCCTTTATAGGTGAAAATGAATATATTCAACATTTCTGTTGTATATCAATTGCTTCCGAGACAATCGTTTGCCATGCAATTTTATTACACCTTTTAGGATCAAGTTTAGATACCCATTTTCGACTAACTAAACCAAAATGGTTTTCTAATACGACAGATGTATCAAGTAGAAAATATTTACTGGCTATACGCTTGAAAATAGCTGCACCATGGATAGTGAGTATATTACAGACCGGTGCACAAATTTTACTAAGTGATTCATTCCCACCTGCTTATTTGGAAGAAGGCAGATTGTGTACATCGCCTGATATTAATTTTTTAATATTACGTACATTAGTTGCATTTCTGCTACCTTTATTAACTAGTATAATAATTCTATTTATGACTGCGCATCGAATACAAACGTTACAATGTCAACAAAAACAGAATAAAACAAACATGAATTCTTTTAATATTCAACAGAAGAAACTTAATGATACAATTAGCTCTCAAGTGAAAAAGCAATCAACTTGCTGTCTTATTACTTCTTGTATAAATAAATACTGTCAATCACGTAAACATAAAGTGGAATTAATCCCCTTATCCTATTACAATCATCATTGTTCTTACGATCATAAGGTAAGTAAACAAGTGATTATTGCAATTTTTTAAAAATTATTATTATTATTGTTTGCATAGTGTTGAGGTGTCTTATACTAGAACAGAATAACTTTCCAGAGTATCTTAGTTCTCAATGATTGTCTAGCTAAAGTTAATTTGTGACGTAAATTACAAATTAAGTAATTTCTACTAAGAAAATTTTAATAACGATTAAAAATCACTTTGTAGATTAATGAGAATTTGTGTTCAATAAACAATTGTTTCTAACCTAGTCTGAGATTATTCAACAATATTTAGTTCTAATTGTAAAAATTTCTGTATGGGACGTAAATTTTCCCAATATTAACGTAATTTAAAATGGATTTCTTGAAACTGATTTTGAGAAGGCGTGAATTATGGAGTTAACCAGGTTATAAATATTGACAGGACTAGATTATTTTCGGCTGCTTTCAATAGTATTTGGAGATTTTTTATTGAGATCGTAAGTCGATAGATGTTAGACCACCATTGAAAACCTGGAAGCAGTGGACTGCCGTTTCGTCCTGTTTTGAGACTCCTTAGAAGTGCGCATGCGAGAATCAAACCCAGGACCTTCGGTCTCGTGCGTGAACGCCTAACCTCTAGACCACTGAGCCGGCATCCAACGGTGTCAATGTCCTATATTAGGATGAAACGGCCGTCCGATGTTTCCAGGTTTTTAATGATGGTCTAACATATATCGATTCATGGTCTCAATAAAAAAAAACATAACAATCTCTACAACCTCATATTGGTAAGTATTTGAAGAGTTTGCGCTTAAAGTTTTCAATAGTCCATTTTTTACTAGTACATAACTTCAAGATGATTGAACAAAATAAATTCTTATACAGCTTTATGATCACAAAAAAGCTTGCCATAAATATGTAAATAATTGTTTGTTAGGGTATTCAAGTTCGTAACTGATCAGTCTATATTACCATATATGCATTCTGAATGAATTCCTTCGATAATATCTTTTCAGTTCCGTTTTTCAGCCTATAATGATATACAGGCTGCACGTCTTAGCTTATTTTTGATGCATCATCTAGGTATACTTCCATGATTGTATTGATATTCACATTGAAACTAGAACCAAGTTTCTATCGTTTTTTAGGTCAGCGTGTCATAAATTACTCTACCTAGACTATATACCCACTAACTTGTTTGGAGAATTAGAAGGCATTTCTAACGGTTTGTATTATCCTATTGTTGATAAAAATGACTAAATTTTGATGAGTCTTTGATGGTGTACGTATATTCTAAGACGATGCCTTTGGATTATTATAAATTGTTTTGAATGATGTCATATGTTATTTATAGGTCCCAACATTAGCTATTCA